AACAATGCGCCACATCAGCAATATCGCCGTCTTTAAGTCCACGTCATCCTCTTCAACAGGTAGGTGCGCGAACATGTCAATGTCCAGATTGCGATGATAATCGCACGCGTCTATAAACACGATTCAATCGTCGAGCGGCACCTTTCCACTTACCTTGGAGCATCAATGCGCCCAACAGCAGATTGCGACATAGAAGGTAAGCTCCAATAACAATTTGTAATGAACCCAGTCTAGAGGAAACTTGTCAAGTGTCGAAATACAAGATAACGCAACGCTGATAAATGTCTCCAATAATCGTGAAATGTGGCCTGTAATACAATGTCTCGTAACCAAAGGACGAAGGAGGAGAGGGGGAGAATAGACTTAGGGGGTGGAAGAGAAAATATCCATCAATGTCCACGTAGATAGAAACCCCTCAATCCCCACTTCTTCTTCGGGCATCTCCTCTCCTCCACGTCAGCAAACAGTGTCCCCGAGACAAGCCTGACGAGACCTGATCACGACGTAGTGCCACGTAGGCTCAGATCCCCCATGAAGACTACTCTGCAGCGCGCAATGTCGACAGAATCAACAGGTAAGTCTCCTCTCTCTCACTCAATCAATCCCACATATCCCGATCTCCCTCCTTGTCGCATTCCAGTGAAAAATTAAGACAGTGTGGCATGTGCCACGTCAGCAATGTCGAAGACAGCGTGGCAAGTGCCACGTCAGCATACAAGAAGACAGTCGGCGCCAGAAGCAGAGAGGCGCCAGCATGCAAACCGCAGTCTCGTGTTGTCATCGCACAATGCCAGCGTAGAGACAGCATTAAGCCAGCGGCGTGCCAACATCAAGCAGCAAGGCAAGACTGAATGTTGACTCCCAAGGGCAGGATCAACAAATAGTGTTGACGAAGTTGACCAGCCTCTGGCTCTCACGTACAGTGGCTTAGATTGACTCACAGTCGGCGGTCTGGACCTCATACATTTGCAGACTTCCACTTGGACCGAATGTTGTCTGGGTACCTGCGTACAACCAAGCGTGTGTCTAATCGGCGGCCTGGACTGGGTCCATGAAGACTTTGACTTGTGAGCCTCAGTATTCCGACATACAGTTGACTTTGGTCAATTTTCGGGCGCAGGGCCTCTGAAGCCACGTTTCAGGGGTTCTATTCCCCACATTCGGACATAGGGCCTGAGGGCCGTTTCGTGCCCTGTGGATGCCCCTCTTGGCTGACGACATACGCATATTTGAACGGGTTATTGCAGTCACAGGATTATCAGCAAAACATCTGACCGGATTGACACATTCATTCCTGATAGCCTCTCTGATACATAGTTGGAAAGCCTGCCAAGCCAAGCCAAAATGATCAAGAAGAACCTGAGGAGGACGAGGAAGTAGGTGGAAGAAGTAAAGGAGGCTGCGGTGGCAGGAGGAGGAGAAGAAAGAAGAAGATGGAAGAAGAGGATGGAAGAAGAGGAAGACTGCTGATCTCGACAATCGGGGCACAGCCACAAGTTCAACGTCTCTCTCTCTCTCTCTCTCTCTCTCTCTCTCTCTCTCTCCCTCTCTCCCCCCCCCCCCCCCCCCCCCCCCCCCCCCCCCAATGTGTGTCTCTCTTTATAAGTTGGAGTCTGATACTGATCAGTGAAAGGTGCTCCCTTGAGATGATGAAAGTCATAGAGCTGAACGCCAGCTATGGACGGCTGTCCCCAAGCTATGGCGCCACTTGGTCTCCCAAACTCCTTCCTCCCTGCAAACCTCCACTGTAGCCAGTCCTCTCTCGACTGGCACTGCTACGGTTGACACTCTATCGATTTGCCAGTGCTGATTTGGAGCAGCCTAGCGGCATCAAGTGTGAAACAACAGTAACCCCCAGGCCCAGTGTACTACCCAGCTATATAGCGCTGAGCTCTATCTCTCCTAGCCCTGGTAGCTCTCTTTGCTATCCAATCTAAACAGGAGGAAGGTCCCCTAGTATGGGTCCCTACCAGACATCCAGGCACGCAATGCTCCAACAGCAGCTACCTCTGGGCCTACTCGAACAGACGAGGACGGGGCCTGCACCAATAGAACACCCAGTCTTAAGACACAAAACTTCTATGGGATTAAAAAACGCCTGAAAGTGGAACAGGCAAGAAGTTCGAAACAATGTTGTCTTAGACTGAAACAGAAAAAAAACGAAAAAAGGACCAGCCCAAGAACCTGAAAGAAACTCTCAAAACTGAAAAATAAAACCAAAATATACACTCGAGTCATCGAGGGGGGGGGGAAAGCATCTACCAGCAGATGTTCCGCAGGTCCAGGCCAGTGTTGGGGGTCCCAGCATGCCACACGCCCCCCTCCATGAGATGTCAAGCCCCTGCAAGGGTGAAGCTGATGATCTGAGGGGGAAACCTTTCGCTCGGTTGGGCAAGAAGGCTTTGATGGCGCGGCTTCACAAGCACTTCCTTGTCACTCATTGTTATCCAAGATATAGTTGGTGAGAGCCTGGAGCTCAACACAGGTCCGCCACCGATCAGTACAAGGTCTGCCGTAGGCAAACTGGTCCTTGTACTGCATGGGCTTAGCCCCGAAATTGCTGATGCATGATGATGTGTGAAACCTCCTGAAATTCATCCACTAAAAGTTCATCTAAACACCAGGTGAGGTGTCATCCGGTTGATTACCAACTGCAGACAGAATCAGCAAAACCCCTCACAGGGCCACCCTGAAGAACTAGGCAAGGTAGACAATGATGATTTGCTTGAATCTCCTCCGCCCTGGGCCTCTGCATATTGTCCCTGGTTTGAAGCTCATGCACCCAGTACAAGGTCTGCGGTAGGCAAACTGGCCCTCTCTCTCTCTCTCTCTCTCTCTCTCTCTCTCTCTCTCTCTCTCTCTCTTTCTCTCTCATGTCTGTACGTACCAGGTACTAACCTGCAGAAAGGTGGCGCCTTTATGCAGGTATGGACATGCCGAAAACGAAGCTGGAGTTGCAGCTTCACAGGTAAGTCAACAGGTGAGTCCCATGGCCTCCACCAATCATCAACTCCCTAACCTCTGCTGCAGCGTACTGCAGGTCAACTGATGTCCTCAACCTCTACAGCGCCCAGCTCGTCCTATAGCTACCACTGAAGACTGCCTCAAAGTACTAACCACGGGACTGGAGGCAGGCCAGCTATTCATAGCGCTGGTCGGTACAAAGTCCGGCCTCAACCTGGCACCTAAACTGGTGCCCAACCAGCGCCCAACTCGGCCTGGATCTGACTGTACCTGTGGCACCCACCGAAACAGGGTCCTGACGCCAAAACAAAAATGTGCCAGGGCCTGGATGAATCTGCTACTGGCCTGACGTAGACCCTACACGGCACCGGCCCTAAACTGGACCCGGTAACAGGCCCACTGCCGTAAACCCAGACCGAACGACACAGACCTGGGAACTGTCCCTAACCCAGCCAGCTAACCCCTAGGACCCCCGAATCGCCCCTGTACCTACCAGTTGGACCCTGCAGAGCCCATGTGGGGAGCCGTGCACACCTTAATACTTCGCTTCTGCTTGCAGCTGACACTTGCTTGGGGCTGGCCAACTCTCTGACAACCTGTAGCGGTCCGTCCTTGGGACTGAGCTGCAACAGTGCCTATCCCCACACCTACTTGTGCTACGGCCACTTGGCATGGTCTGAACTCGCCTGACCCTGCATTATGCTACAGGCCCTGAGTTCTACTTGTTCTGTGGACACTGAACCAATCCTGCAATGGCCCAAAAGTACTAGGCGCACCCTGTGTTATGCTACAGGCCCTGAGTTCTACTTGTTCTGTGGACACTGAACCAATCCTGCAATGGCCCAAAAGTACTAGGCGCAGACTTGAAGACTGGAGACTCCAGATCCTACAACTACTACCTACACCTCCGGTGGCCCTAACTAACTGCCCTGGAACTTCCGTTACAATCCTTCAGCAGACCCAAAACGAAAACTCAACTCCTACCAAAGTTGGTGACATCTGTCAATGTTGGAACTTGCATAAGTCCTCTAGAAAAAAGATGCACACTTTCATTGGAAAAGGAGTTATGGGACTGGGTCAGGGTCACTGAGAGTCATGAATTCCTTTTACTTAAGTGATTTTTAGGTTTTTTTGTATTCATCAGAAACCCCCGGGATGTAGACTATGAGCAGGGTAGTTTACAAAGAAGGGGGGGGGGGGGAAGACCTCCAAATCGGTTTTGGCGGGCCCCAAAATCCTCGAGCTCGAGGGGCCCCAAACCGAATGTTTGGGGGGTTGTCAGGGTAGACCCTCCTGGACGTTGGGTCCAATAAACCCTGGTCCTGCCGTTATTTTCGGCTTAAGGCCGTCGTAGTCTCAATGACCGTCGGGTTGCAAAGGTTGTGAATATGCTTTATCCCATCAATGGACGCCAAGGATCATTGCACTGCCATAATTCAGGGAATCAGCGAAAGATGGTGCACACACAGAGTTGAGCCACTGAAACTCACTTGCCTTTCCCCTGCTCACCGTTTTCGAATGCCAAGAAAGGCCCAGAATTGTTATGCTAAGCGAACATTTGTCCGTGATCACCACCAGCGCTAAGCAAGATCAGAGGTGAGAGCCTACATCATCACCTTTCAGCCCCCAACAATGACGATGGATGCATTTACCTTGTTTGCAGTGAGGGTAGAAGTATCATATTCTTCGATGTAAGTGCCACTGGTGCCTGTTGGTCCTGCTACACCAGAGGCTCCTGAACTAGAGTTGGCAGCTCCACCAGACCCAGGGACTTGCGATCCACCTCCACCGATTCCATTTGCACCTGCAACCACTGCTGTACTACCCAAAGCTCCCGTGCCGGAAGCCAAAAGTAATCCTCCGGCCATGCCACCAGAAGAAGTGCCACTGAGTTCTAACTGCTCATCGGCTGTGCGCGCAAGCTCCTCGATTTTGGCCTGCGAGCATCCCTGCTAAGAGAAGTTGACAGCAGCCCGAAAGGGCACATACATACCCATCAGCAAATGGTTATTTCCTAGTACAAGCATATGCCCAACCCTATCCTAAGTCTGCATGCCCATTTCAGAGAGGAAAAACAAAAATGCAAGGAATATGAGTGGGAACGATATACATAAAACCAAATTGTAAAATCACACAGATGTCCAGGTAGTTGTGTACAAGCAGAGAGCACAAATGCACCAAGATGTCCAGGTAGTTGTGTACAAGCAGAGAGCAATACAATGAAGTAATGAGCCAATGTTCAAGCCCTCAGGCCACACCAGCACAGTATCCAAAGTCGCTCCTCTCTGTATGGCGCCCAGCGCCCAGCCTACACTACCTGACTGCCCTACCTACATCAGCATTCTCGCAAACGGCTCACTTCGCCTCTCGAAGACCAATGCACATGATGTCAACACCATAGCCGACCTCTTCCACGTACCAGATATCTCGCTTCCCCTCATCAGACCCTGTTACATGCTGCGCCTGCACACGAGGGCCTTTTTGCCCTGCGGCCGAAAGCCTGAAAGCCAGGGCCTACAGGCCCCGTGACCAGTCAGCTCGAAAGCCTGGAAAACAGGGGCCTACAGACCCTGTGTCGTTTCAGACTAAAAATGGCAGCAGCCTTTTTAGCCTGAAATGAAGGGCCATTTCCGGTCTGTCATCAGACCCGCCTGCCCTGAAAATCGGGCACCGAACATTTTTGGCCTGTTCCCCTGACAGCTGCAGCGCCAGCCCGTGGCTCAGTTCGGCATTGGCAAGAGCAGCCTCCTGGACTGCCCACCCTGCCACTGCAGGCAGTCGGAGGAAGTCAGGAGGCAGGCCGAGATAGTACATAGGGACTTCCCATGCACTTCACGGGTAGGCAGCAGGCAGTCAGTAGTCTTCAGGATTCGGCAGCAGCACTCTGGAGGGAGCGCTGCAAGAGTAGTAATAGCGTTAGCATTAGTCTTCAGCGCTGGGTGCCAGTAGGTAGCTGTAGTCTTCAGCGCTGGGCGCCATAGGTAGGATAGTACTAGAGAGAGAGAGATTGGGCGGAGGCCAGGAGTACCTACCTGCAGCGCCGTTGCTCCAACTTCGTCTTCGAGGTACCTGCAGCACAGCGCCAACTTCACAGGTACCTGGCTCGTGAGAGAGAGAGAGCTCTTCCTCCTCTTCTCAGTCCATGTTACATGCTCGGTTGAGCAAATGAACGAAGAGCCAAGGATCCGCAAAGTGATGAAAAGGACAGAAATGGACAATGCAGTGTGAACGAAACTCAACAAGCAATGTTCATCCTGATATATGCAAAACGGTAGTTTGCGAGAGACTGGGATCTAAGTCCTAACTAGACTAGGACTGACATGACATTTCATGGTACAGCATGCATGTAAGAAGAGGAGGGACACCAAACTGTTGGACACCGTAAGCGTGCTGAACAGAACAAGAACCGACCTTTCTCACACAGTATCAGATAGCGCAGCGGAATGCTAGAATACCAATGCTCAACCAATCAATGTCGAAGTTCAGACTCAACGTTCCACATCATCGTTGTGAGGTGTGATAGGCCTGGCGCCATACACAGAAGTGCGCCAGGTCCCAACCATACACAGACGACGAGGGGTAGGAGCAGACGAAGAAGAAGAGGGGGGGATGGAAATGTAGTCCACACCAAGTCTTTGACACAAGCCCAAAAGAAGCCCTCGTCGAATGTCTGAATCCAATGTCGTCAAGTCTCACAGTCACAATCTCTCCCGTAGGCTACAGATGCTGAGAAGCCAGGTAGCGAGAGGGTGAAGAAGAGATGGTGGACTTAGAAGCGGAAGAAGAAGAACTCTCTCTCTCTCCCTCTCAGTCCAGTACTAACCTGTGATGTTGGCGCTGTGATGCAGGTACCTCGAAGATGAAGCTGAAGCTATGGCGCCACAGGTAAGTCTCCCTGGCCTCCGCCAGCCATCTCCAACTCCAACACTACTCTACTCCTACCTGCGCCCAGCGCTGAAGACTACAGCCTACCTACTAGCGCCCAGCGCTGAAGACTACAGCCTACCTACTAGCGCCCAGCGCTGAAGACTACTGCTAACGCTGCCTCCTGCAGCGCTCCTGAAGACTACTCCTGAATCCTGAAGACTACAACTGACAACTGATACCCTCCCTCTGCCTGTAGGGCGGGCCAGTCTTATATAGTGCTGGCCCGTCCAGGAGGCTGCTCTTGGCAATGCCCAAACGTGCTAGACCCTGCGGAAGCTTCCGGGAAGTTTCCAGGTAGCTTCTGGCTGAAGCCTGAGGAAGCTTCCGGAAAGTTCCCAGGTAGCTTCTGGCTAAAGCCTGAGGGCCTATAGGCCCTTGTTTTCAGGATGTCAGGCTGAAACGCCACGGGGCCTGTAAGCCCTGGATTTCAGGCTTTCGGCCTGAAACAGACACGGGGCCTGTAAGCCCTGGATTCCAGGCTTTCGGCCTGAAATAGACACGGGGCCTGTAAGCCCTGGATTTCAGGCTTTCAGCCTGAAACAGGCACAGGGCCTGTAAGCCCTGGATTTCAGGCTTTCGGCCTGAAATTCAGGCTTCCGGCCTGAAGGACACAGGGCCTGGAAAATGGCCCGCGTGTGCAGGCGCAGCATGCAACAGTCCACCATCTCCCTCTCACCCTCTCATTATCTGACTTCACTGCATCAGCAGACTACGAGACAAAGAGAGAGAGAGAGAGAGCTTGGTGACATTGGATCCAGACTCGACTTTTGGGCTTCAGACCTTTCGACGAGGGATTATTTGGGACTTGTGACAAAGACTTGGTGATGACCACACTCCCATCTCTCCCCCTCTTCTTCGTCTGATCCCCTCCTATTCGACTGTGTATGTCTGGACCTGGCGCTTCCTTCCTGTGTAATAGCGCCAGGCTCCTTCACACCTTGTGATGAGAATGATGTATGTTTGGTCTGCGTTGAAACCTTGATTGGGCTAGTCATCAGTATTCTAGCATTCTGCTTCGCTATCTTGTACTACGTGACAGAGGTCNAGTATTCTAGCATTCTGCTTCGCTATCTTGTACTACGTGACAGAGGTCAGTCTCGGTCAGGTCGGGTCTTGCATCTAACTCTTCCCTGCGCTATAAAACACCATTTTGTATGTATCGGAATGCACATTGCTTGTTGAGATCCTACTTGCACTGCATTGTCCATTCAGTCCTTTTTATCACATTGCGGATCCTCGGTTATTGTGTACATCGCCCAACTGGGCATGTAACAGTTGGTATCGGAACGCCGCATGTGAATCAGGACAACCTGATCTGACACGTGTGTGGGGACTAGGTAGCTGATTAGTCTTGATAGATTGATTAGAGCCAAATCGGCGCAACATCTGAAATTTCCATTTTCGTTTTTCTTCTGAAAATTTGAAATTTCGTTGTTGAAAATCCGGAATATCCTTCTTTTCGAAAATTTCAATTTCCTGTTGCATACTTGGAAATTCGGAATACTTTTTTCCGAAATTCGTTTTTCTGAAAACGGTACAGGAAATCCCTCCTGCAGGTATTTGTGAGGATTGAGCCCTCGAGTAAGGGCCTTGCCATAATGTACATGTTCTGGGCTAAGGCCCCAGCAAGCCTAGTGCCCGCCCTAAGTGAAGTCGGGCCAGCAAATCAACAAGAGCCCTCTATGCCAACATTTCACAAAGTGGGGTCTATACAGTTGCAGCACGCCAGTTGGTTGGAGTGCACCGAGTCTCGGATTTCAGCAAATGCTGAAATGCCCAGGGCCTCTGAGTTAGTTAGGCCCTGGGCACTCGAATGTGAGGCCGACAATGCATGCTGGGTAGAGAGGCCGAAATGCCGAAGGGAAAATCGGCCCACTATCTGAATCTGGCCGCAGGCCTTTATGAGAGAGGCGCAACTGCATTGCTCCGGGGCCCAACTGTATTGGGTAGGCTTCAGCCTCTGGGTCCCGGTCGCAGGCTGAAGGGAGGCCGCCCACACGCTGCATTGGCATATAGGCAAGCAGAGCGAGGCAGCAGGGATCTTGGCCAACGCTGGCACTTGCGGGCACGCTGCGCGGATGCATGTGTGCTGCGCTGTGCAAAGCAGTGCTGCGCTAAGAGCAAGCAGGCCAGCACTAGGCGGTAGGGCGCTGCCTGCACTGAAGGCACTGGTGGCCATAGCCTGGGCCGCATGAGGGTGCAGGGGAGGTGAGGGGGAAGGTTGTACTTCGGAGGTGAAGGGCACTGCGTGGGTACAAGGGAGAGTGTGGGTAAGAGGACACGTACCTGGTGATGGTGGAATACGGCATTGGTGTTGACATCATCACTCGCTGGTAGTCAAGTTGTTTGGTTGCTGTTCATTGCTGTAGTTGTAGGATAGAATGTAGAGTAGATAGGGCGCCTGGCGCCGTTCACAAGAGAGAGTTACATTTGGGTTATGCTGTTGGTGTTGCCCTGATGGGCATGGACATTGACTCACGATTCTTCTGTATCATTCTCAATTGGATGGTTACTCGGTTCCATGTGCTATCTGCTTTGGCTTTGAATACTTGGACTTCAGTGTGATTTTGCATTCTGGATTTCTGTGCTTCGTCCATACTCATGTTCGTTGCATATTATTTTCCAAGCTGCGAATACTCTCATCTGAGTAAGTCCGAATATTTGATTTCTTTTCGGAATTTTTTTTCTCGCAGTTCTAGAATTCTGTGAGGATTGAGCCCTCAAGAAGGGGCCTTGCCATGATGTACATGTTCTAGGCTAGGCCCCAGCAAGCCTAGTGCCCGCCCTAAGTGAAGGCGGGCCAGCAAATCAACACGAGCCCTCTGTGCAAACATTTCACGAAGTGGGGTCCATACAGTTGCAACACAACAGTTGGTTGGAGTGCACCGAGTATCGGAGCTCTGCAAAAGCAGAACCCAGGGCCCCAGAGTTGGCTAGGCCCTGGGCACATAAACGAGAGGCCGACAATGCATGCTGGATACAGAGGCCGAAAATGCCAATGGGAAACCGG